CATTTATAATCCTTTGGATATATACCCAGTAATGGGATTGCTGGGTCAAATGGAATTTCTATTTCTAGGTCCTTGAGGAATCGCCATACTGTCTTCCACAATGGTTGAACTAATTTATACTCCCACCAACAGTGTAAAAGTGTTCCTCTTTCTCCACATCTTCTCCAGCATCTGTTGTCTCCAGATTTTTTAATGATCACCATTCTATCTGGCGTGAGATGGTATCTCAATGTTGTTTTGATTTGCATTTCTCTCATGACCAGTGATGATGAGCATTTTTTCATATGTTTGTTGGCCTCATGTATGTCTTCTTTTGTAAAGTACCTGTTCATATCCTTTGCCCACTTTTGAATGGGCTTGTTTGTTTTTTTCTTGTAAATCTGTTTTAGTTCTTTGTAAATTTTGCATGTCAGCCCTTTGTCAAATGGGTAAACTGCAAAAATTTTTTCCCATTCTGTTGGTTGCCGATTCACTCTAATGACTGTTTCTTTTGCTGTGCAGAAGCTGTGGAGTTTGATTAGGTCCCATTTGTCTATTTTGGCTTTTGTTGTCAATGCTTTTGGTGGCCACTGCTCAACGAAATAAGAGAGGACACAAACAGACGGAGAAACATTCCATATTCATGGTTAGGAAGAATCAATATTGTGAAAATGGCCATGCTGCCCAAAGTAATTTACAGATTCAACGCTATCCCCATCAAGCTACCAATGACCTTCTTCACAGAACTGGAAAAAAACACCTTAAACTTCATATGGAACCAAAAGAGAGCCTACATAGCCAAGTCAATTCTAAGTAAAAAGAACACAGCAGGAGGTATCACACTACCGGACTTCAAACTATACCACAAGGCTACAGTAATTAAAACAGCATGGTACTGGTACCAAAACAGAGATATAGACCAATGGAACAGAACAGACGTCTCGGGGACAACACAACATATCTACAACCATCTGATCTTTGACAAACCAGGCAAAAACAAGCAATGGGGAAAGGATTCCCTGTTTAATAAATGGTGTTGGGAAAGCTGGCTAGCCATGTGCAGAAAGCAGAAACTGGACCCCTTCCTGACACCTTACACTAAAATTAACTCCAAATGGATTAAAGACTTAAATATAAGACCTAACATCATAAAAACCCTAGAAGGAAGTCTAGGCAAAACCATTCAGGACATAGGTGTAGGCAAGGACTTTCTATAACTTTGTTTACAACATATTAGTCGATTTCATACTTTATATTAGATTAATAATAAAACTTCCTTCAAGAATTTTTAATTCAGAAAAATAAGCCTCCTTTTGATACCTAACATGAAAATTATACCTATTTTCCACTTACAGTAATGTTCATATATAGATTACTACTTATAGTAATAGAGAAAATTGTTGTGGAACCAACTCAAAAAGTGAGAAAAACTGAACAAAACCAACCAATTTCATTTGATATATAAACATCTTGTAGTATATCTATACTAAACATTTTGTAGCGTATCTATACTAATGTATACTAATGTATAGATATACTACAAGATGTTTATTTTTATTTGATTTGATATACAAATATCTTGTAGCATATCTGTACTAATGTATATGTATACTAATATCTATACATTAGTACAGATATGCTACAAGATGTTTATATATCTAATCAAATCAGTTGATATTAGTATAGATATATCATGTTTATTTATTGCAATATTCAATAATGTGTGAAAATTTTGGTGATTCTGTGATGTTATTTTGTGGAAATTGAGAAGATCATTCTAGAATTGATACAGAAATAGAAAGACCAAGCATAGCCTAAAATATGTAAACTTTAATTGAGAGAATATATACTAACAAATATCAAGGCTCATTACAAATGTACAGAACTTAACAAAGTATATTAATGGAAAAAGGACAGACAAATCACCAGTGAAACAGAGTAGAATTTAAAAAAAAAAAATCCTTGCATATAGAGATGCTCGATTTAGGGAGAGACTGGCATTATGGCATAAAGAGCATAAGTTTTGTTTTGCATTGGTTTGAATAAATAACAGTGAGTCAGTTGAAACCCATACAGAAAAGACATAAATCTTAACCAGACTCTGATATAGCAAATACATTGGGGTTAACAGATTGAAAATATAAAACAACTATCATTAATATACTATGGGCTCTAAATAAATAGACAACAGGCAAGAAAAGACAGGCAATGTTGGTCAAATCATTTGATATGTTGTGAGGTAAAATCTTTTGATACGTTGTAAGGTGAAACTTAGTTCTGCTTACAGAAAACCTCACATCATTTATAGATTTAAGTCCTGTGTGCTAGTAGAAATATCAGTGACAAAAATTTGCTCCGTATTTTTCCTTCCATTTCTATTTCCTTTTTTGTTTTATAAATAGTGAATTGATTACTATTTATAACTAAATAGGTTATCAAGATTTCATAATCATTTCAGAAAGCTTAAGGAAGTAGAATGACAGGTGAAAGAAATTTAAAGTACACCATAACTTTCCCTTTCTCTTTTGAGCCATTAAATGGAGAAAATCTATAGGCACTGAGAGCCACTTGGGGCCAGGGATAGGGGCAGGTACTTTCAAGAAATTGAGAAATATTTTTAAATAATTCCTAATATAATGGTTGCAAGGGCTGGAGGTAAAAATAGGTGCTTGTATGTGTTACTAGACACGACAGTCATATGGCTTAATATGCAATTCCTTACTATAAGAAAGTGATGTGAGTCATTAATCCTTAGCTAAGTACTCAGCATTAAGTGGCATATAGTGTACACTAGACTATATATATTTAACAAGATTTTAGAATTTCTGGATCTTCTTACAAGCTTTTTTATTTTATTAGGTTTCTAGTTTCATGCACAGATTTCACCATGGATTTAGTATATTGAGAAAATAATTTCCTATCATTGGGAAAAAAATTGCATTAGCTCTATTGCAATTTGATTATAATATGAAACTACAGAGATAAAAACTACCTTAAATGGTCTGAGTTTTATGATGCAGTATAATTACAGTTACTTACCTCTTTAGTGACATGGGCAAAATTGTATAGAAGCTATGTATTCATTTAAACAAGTTTTGGAATAACACAGTAATAATGTAAAGTTTTAATAATTTTTTGTCATATCTGTGTTAGATTGTCATGCCTTATTTTTACTTCTGTTTGTTTTATTTATTCAGTACTTATAAGAATTCACTTTGATTTTTTTTTGTTAAATTTCTCCTACAATTGCCTTCAAAGGGTCAGCTGACAAGAGATGGATGTCATAATCTGCTCACTCTGGCATTTCTCTAAATAGAAGGTAAAGTTTGTGTACTCTGTTTTTCTCTCCTGAGTCAGTGATTTATCTCAAGAACAAAAGTACAGTTACTAAAGTGCTGAATTAAATTAAATATTATTACTGACTTATTCCAAGAAAGGAAACGTGTCCCAGTTTAAAAGTAATAAGAAATATTTCACACATATATACAACTTCTAAATTCTTGAAATGAGTTTTTAAACAGAAAAATCTAAGAGTTTTATATATAACAGTCTGCATCATAGTTTGAAGTACTAGGATATTCAGTTTGGATTAAAATATATATATTAAAGATATAAGTATCTATAGCTATGGTCCTCTATTAACTTGAATTTTAAGAGAAATTTTAAATGATACTTTAAATATTGTAGCCTATTCATTATATGTAATGAGTATTCTTTTATTCTCTAAATCTTTCAATGGATTATTGTGTCTTCATATAAAAAATTAAACTATTACAAATTATATTTCTTGTAATTAGAAATTATTGACATATAAATGTATGTATATTTGATATGTATGCATGAGGGTATATATGAATGTATGATTTCATCAATATATTTTATTCCCTTGGTTTTAAGATGTTTTCATGCAAATTTACTTTATCATAGTAATATTTTCCCTCAAAATTATTTAAAACTACAGTAATTATCTGCTATGATTTTCTTTCATTTTTTTATAGATATTTTTATTGTATGCATATCAGGTACACAGAATAAAAACACTACCCTCTAGAACGTGAGAAGTCAATAGAAAAAAGATATATATATGGAACGAACATAAAAACAACTAAGCATGTGATCTTCAACCATATCCATATAGTTTTTAAACTAATCTTTTACAATTAAAAAGTCACTTATTTGAAACTGTAGAGTTGACAGATGATGTGTGCCATGTAAGTATTAGTTTAGAAACTTACAAAACAATTTTAGAGTGGAGAGAAAACTGTGTAACTATCATGTTACAGGGGACATGATTTAACAGTAGAGTTTTTATATTATAGAGAAGAAAACAAGGGTAAGTATCAAGTATTTTAAAAGTGCTATCTAAACTAGAATGACATTTATTCAGTATGATACATTCTTTCCCTACTCCATTCTAATTGTTTAAAAACTACCAAGAGAAGTTGCAGAAGTTAAAGTACTAAATCTGGCATCTTTTCTTTCTTACACAAAAAGTATCTTTTCTTATAAATGGGGCTATTTAATTAAGTATCTTTCTTGGTGAACCCAGTTATAATCAAAAGAGGCCATGAGACCACAGACTACTACTGACAGAAAGTGACAGTGTGGTCACTTTTCATCGATCAACAGGCAGTCCGAGGGACACAACAGAACACAAGTCTGGGTAACGTGAATTTGGTGAGAAAGCAAGCTAAACCTCCTGTGTCTTAATATTCAAAGTGAGTCATTCTATACAATTTTTGACTTTATACTAATCCAAGAAAGGCCAAAAAAATTATTCTGTTTAAAGGCAGGGAGGCATATCATAACTTTCAAAAACATGTCAATGCAAACATACACATTTTAACTAGAATAACTCATTTTCTAATGATGCATCATTACTGTACTTATAGTTAGTAAAGTGAACAGACTAGTATTATAATCTATTTATATTCAAGGAACATTGTAAGCTAGCCAATAAAATTTACCTATCTTAAAGAAAAAACTCAGTCAGTTGAGACTGAAACTTTATAGTATGACTTTGCTGGTCAATGGGCTTTGATTTTTCCATCAGTTTGTCAGTAGACGATGAAGCAGGCCTGGCCACAACTTCAGATGCTATGCTTCTTGACAGTGTCTTACTTCTTACTATATCTTGACAAGAACTGGTTTTGACAATAGATAAAGCTGTTTTTTATTCTAACGGTTCTTTTTCACGAGGCACTTTCCAGATTGTAACATGGGCAGAGGTTCTACTGATGCCTTGTTTCACAGTGTCCTGGGTATTACTGTGATGACTTCTAATTGGAAGTAGCACAAGCTGTGTGTTCTGAGATGTAGTGCTCACAGGTTGCGTGGTGGCAGTCATACTTGAGGATCTATTATTACTTTTCACTATTATACTGCTGGTGTTTACAGGCTGAGGCTTTGTGGCTTTAGGGACAATGGTTGAAAGTTTCTTTGTTGCTGCAGAACTCTCGTCTTTGACTTGTAGAGATTTTCTAAGTGAATCAACCTTAGACTGAACAATCTGGCCATGATAAGGTCCAAGCACAGGTTTCTTGGGCATGTTAGCATCTCGCTTTTGTTTTTCTCCAGTTATCTGTCTCTTTTCACTACTGTTTTTAAGGTGAAATGCCTGGCTTAATGTCATGTGTTGACTTTGGGGATTATCTTCAGTTAGTAACAATTGCAGAGTTTGATTACTATCCTTAGGTTTATGTGTGTCAATTACTGCAGTTGAATTGGTTAGTTCATTTGAAGGTTTTAAAGGAATAAAATTTACTCCCCATTATTGTACTATTTCTGCTCCCTGCAGGTCTCTTCACACTTTCTTTATCAGCCATTTTTGTTTTAAGTTTCAGCACTTTAGTCCTTTCTTGAACTTGGTCCTCAGATGTCACAGCTCTCTGACCTCTACGGGATAACATCTCATTTTCCTATTGTATGCAAAAAGTGTTTTCTTCTCAACAGATATTCCTGGAGTTTTTGTCTTCTTTGCTCTTTGAACGTGGATTGGGCCCTCTGACTCGGAGGCGGGGAGTGGGGGGGCAGCTGCAGGTCTCAGGGCACGGCTGGGGTACTCATCGTAGCTTCAGTTCGGGGGATGCGTCTCCACTTTAGTGTCTATATAGAACTTCTTCCAATTATCTGCTATGATTTACATGGCATATTGGGTGTTTTTTACAAAAGTAGATTATTTTTTAAATGTTTACATGACCTTTTATATTATTCTTACATTAAGCTTTATTTTCAGATTGTGTTTACTATTCTACAGTGCTATATTTATAGTCTATAAAGGTATTAAGCTCACTATGTATTTACATTTCTTCCCAGTGGAAAATTTTTTACTATAGAAATAGTATATCATTATTGTCTTTTGATACGTAAGTAATTATATCAAATTACCTGGTAGAATCTTATAAACTATATTAAAGCATAATCAGAATTGTAAAAATATGGTTTATACCAAAATAAACATCAACATTTGACGACCAACGCATTGAAAATTACATTTCAAAGTAGCAAAATGATATGATGAAAAAGTTTATTTTGATTTCTTTTAATGTCTAATTATTTTAAGCAGATCTTTATTATTAATTTTATTGCATGGTAATCCTGTTTTTCATTTCCACAAAGAACCCAGTATGAAATGTGGACAGAAACAAATCTTAATAGAAATTATACTCAAGTAGATATTTGCCTTGTATCCAAAATGTCTTATCAGACATATTTAAAAGTGTGTAGTTTATACTGATTTGTGTTTGTAAATTGGAATGTTTGGAAACTACTCAATATTAGGTCATTTTAAGAGAGGTGCAACAAATAATGTAAGTAATTTACAATGCCTAAAACACTCATTTTCAAAGGAAGAAAATCGAGAACAGATCTAAAATTACTTATAAATAATATCTATCTGTTCAATAGTTTATATTATGTATAATGTGATTAGCAATGCAGTGGAAATATATTTGGTCACGTCCCATTCTGATGTCTTTACAAGAAATAGTACATGGACACGAATTCACAATGTATTCTGTAATATATTTAGTTTTAAGACTTACAGGTCCTTTTGAATTTGTGTTCTCAATGGTATTAAGTGGTACAGGCAGTAAGAAATGAACGCCCTGTTTTGAAAGTTGCTCATGAGCTAGGCACATAAGGGTTAGTACTCCTGAACAGAGACTATGTTTGTTACAGTGCTAACAAAAAATCTGAATTCTGTTGAATCCACACAGTAAGTTGACTTATGGGAAATCTGTACAATTAGTTGACTTAAGTAATTCATTTTCCTATGTAGTAACTTCTATCTAATCTATACAACAGCACATCTTTATACAAATCAGAGTAAGGAAATCAAAATAAGGAAAGACCAATTGAAAATATGCTGTCTCTTCCTTTGATCATCACTAAGCATAAGATTGGCTTATATAGGGATTATTTCTATATGATAATCTGTTGTTTAATATTAATGAGCAATTAATGGTAAATGTGGCTTTTTGTGATTAACTGAATTAGAGTATATCTATTAACATATCTTCTTCTCAGCTATTTTTGTTAACTACTTTTGCTGAATTTGACCTATAAACCCTAAGAAAGTCAGGTTAAGCTTTAGATTTTCTTTGAATCTCGCTTTCTTTCTTCACCATTAACCTTTCACTTCCTTCATGATCTCATCCACTTCCTTCATGATCTCATTCACTCCCATGACATTTCTTACTGCCCATATGTTACTGAATCCTACATATGCATCTCAGGTATAACACTGCCACATATACAGTTTTATAATTCAAGAATTCTCGAGGCTTCTTTGACTATTTCCTTTCCCTTTCCCCTACATATGTTTCTAATGTGCCTGTTAAGTTTACATTCTAAATCTCTTATATTCATTTTTTTATTGAGCTCCACTACTACAGTTATAATCCAAAAGCCATTCATCTTTTCCTTGAACTGAGGAATTGGCTCCTGGTTATTTTTGATTATGGTAAGAACACCTACATAAAATTCACCATCTTAACTATTTTTAAATACAGATACTATGTAGTTCAGCAATGTTACATGTATTTACACTGTGAAACAAATCTCCGGATCCTTTCTATTTTGTAAATCTGAAACTATGCCCATTAAACAATTCCTTTTTTTCCTCTCCTTACTGTTCCTGGTAACTATTACTCTACTTTATGTTTTTATGAATTTGATCACTTTAGATACTTCATCTAAGGGGACTCATACAGTATTTGTCATTTTCTGACTGGCTGATTTCACTTAGCATAGTGTGCTCCATGGCTCATCCCTGTTATAGCATGTGAAGCATTTCCTTTCTATTTAAGGCTGAATAATCTACTGCATCACATTTACCCATGCATCTGTGGATGAGTATTTGGGATGCTTGTACTTCTTGACTATTGTGAATAGACTTGCCATTAAATGTGTGAACACAGATATGTCCTTGAGATTGAAACTCTGCTTCCATTCTTTTGGATATATGCTCAGAGGTAGAATTGTCAGATAATCTGGTGGCTGTATTTTTAATTCTTTGAAGAACCCCCATACTATTTTCCATAGCTATTACACTATTTCACAACCACAACTAAAGTGCACAAGGGTTCCCATTTCTCCACATGCTTTCCAGAACTTGTTACATTTTGTTTTTTGTTTGTTTGTTTGTATTTTTCTTTTGATAAAAGACACCCTAACCAGTGTCAGTTAGTATCACATTGTGGTTTTGATTTGTATTTCTTGGTGACACTGAGCACCCTGTCCTATGCTCACTTGCATATCATCTTTGGAGAAATGTCTATTCAAGTCCATTGCTCATTTTTTAATTAGGTAATTTGACTTTGTCATTGTTGTTGTCCGGTTTCAGGAGTTCTTAATATGATCTAAATATTAACCCCTTATTACATACATGGTTTACAAGTATTTTTCATTCTTTAGGTTGCCTTCACTCAGTGATTGTGTCCTTTTATCTAATTCATTTTTTAGTAGCTTCTTTTGTACACCCAATTTATTCTCCATATTATTTATTGAAAAATAATTATGAAGTCTAAATATGACCCTGTAATTTCAGAACTTAATATTCATTTGTGCCTTCCCAAGGCTCTCAGGATAATATTTAAAATGCTTAAAATTGCGCTAGAAAATCTGGCATATACCTACCTCACCAATTCCTTTACACATCCCCCCACCCTTCACTTCATGCCATACCTGTTTTCACGTACTTCCTTTCATGAGCCAGGTTCCTCTCTGTCTTACATTCCTTGCCTGTTTTATTCATTCTGTATTACTTTTCTCCTTTTTCTTTGAAAAGTAAACTTCTATTGTTTTTGAGCCTCAGATTAAACGTCATTTAATCAGGGAAGTCTTTCTTGACTCACCAGCCTAGGACAGGTTTCTTGTTATGTAATATGAATGCTCTCTAAACTCATTTGAGGTATTTATCAACGTTATAATGGAATAATTATTTAAATTATGCAAATATTTATTTTATGTCACTCACCTCAACTAGAATGTAAGATATGTAAAGAACCAGTCATTCCTATTCCCTACTGTGTCTCTAAGTCTAGCAAAGTTCCTTGCTCATTTAACTGATCAATAAATGCTTTTGAAATGAATAAAATAACAGATGAAGGAATAAATTAGTATCTGATCTCTATAGACAGTCTCAACTATAGCACCAGCTAATGATGTCAGTTTAGGAAACATGGTGCTTGGTCCTGGTATGAGGATGTTATATTCTAGTTGATACCAAGAAATGAACAAACTCAAAATTAGTAAGTTTGAGAATGTAGCCAGCTAAATGCAGGCCAAGAGTCACAATAAAGTATGTTAGAAGTAAGGGATCAAGTAAAACACAAAATTAGGTTAGGAGCAAGGTTAGTATTAAAAACACTGACTGGATTTTAGGAAATCCCTATGAACAAAATTGGAGAGAGGTTTGCTTGTGTATACTGGCCTTGAGACACACCCAGGACAGGTGCATGGCATAGAATGAAAGATGTATTTTCAAGGGGAATAAATGTTAACATCATCAAATTCAGGGCCAAAAGGACATAACTATTCATATTTTTTAATATTTTAAATACCTGCTTTGAGTTATCACGACTTTACGTCACCTTCTTTATTATGTTTTTTTTAATAATATCCACATGATTCGTATTACTTTGCAACCTGTATTTTTTTTTATTATTATTATTGCAACCTCATAATTTTAGGAATGTATTAAAAGTAAGGTATACAGAGTAAAACGATTTAGAATGCTTTTTTGGACTAAAAGAATCTCACTAATTTTAATTAGTGGTCTAGTGTCCCAACTGGGAACACAAGCAATTGTCTGTCAGCAACCGTCTTTCCCTATGACTAGGAAACAAGGCTATTTGTTCTCTTCTTACACATTGGAATCTAATCATAGTACATTATTTACTGCTCTGATCTAAGCAACAATCTTGTACTAAATATTTTGCAGTCATTTACATCAAGAAAATGAAGACATTAATTTCAAATGGCAGTTTTACTTTTTGGTTGTGACTATTGTCTTTTATTTACTTTTATTGCTCAAATGTAGGACATACTTTTCATAAATAACTTACAAGAAAAAATTTAATACTCTTTTCTAGATAGTATTTAACACACTGTTTTACACGAAAAGATATTTGTTCTGACAATTTCATAAAGATGTCTTTTACCCTTCGAAATGCCAGCACCTGACAGTTGTGAACTCTTTACTTTGTCGAATAATCTCTAACTCTGGGAAAATACCAAGAGTATTCGAACGATTGACCTTTAAACAAGCCTTGCCTTCTATTGGAATTTAAAATCTCTGTGGCTGAATTCACCAAAGGATTATTTTTCTACTATATATTATCATAAATATAATACTTACTTTATAAATTATCAAGTAATATTACATTCTGTCTGTATGAAAGTATCAGACTAAATTGTAATACCTTGAATGTCCTGATAGTTTCATTATCACTAGTCATCATAGAGGTATCATGGGGTTTCTTCCTTACCCACAGTGCTTCAGT